AACGAACGGAGCAGAAGTTAAAACGAAAGGAGCGACGTAGGGAACAGAAGGGAAGACAAAACGAAAGGGAAGAGTAACAAACGAAATGCTCTGGATGCTATAGCCTCTGGGCTTGCTCTTTGAGATTTTGAAAATTCTTTTAATGCTACGCTCTTGGCCTTCACCTGAGGCGTTTGAGCACGCCCTTGACGCTACGCTTTGGAGACAGTCGCCTCTTGAATGCTATGCTAATTTTCTCTTGGAAGTTCGAACAAGCTCTTGGTGCTACGCTCTTGGCTTAATCTTGGGTTTTCCGACACGCTTTTGCTGCTACGCTCTGAGCATCTCTTAGCTTTCTCCTGGGCCAGTCCGGCAAGCTCTTGATGCTACGCTCTTAGCTGTCTGTCTATGGGAACTTCCAACACGCTCTTGGTGTGTTTTATCTTCCAACACTTTCTCTTTGCCTTGTCCTGGGACGTGCCAGCACGCTCTTGACGCTACGCCCGTGGCTTCTCTTGAAGCATGGCGCGCTATTTTTGCTTCTTTTTGTGACACATTGAATTAAAACACGCTCTTGATGCTACGTTCTTGGCTCTGACTCTGACACTCTCTTGATGCTACGCGCTGAACCTCGTCTTGGAACAGTCCAAGATGCTGTTGACGCTACGGTCCACCACAATCGTGATGATACGCTCTTATATTTTTTCTTGGAACTTCCAACGCGCTCTTGTTGGTGCTACGCTCCGCCTCTTGACGCTGCGGCCTGGAGAAAGTCACGCTCTTCCTGCTACGCTCTTAGCTTTGTTCTGGAACACGCCAGGACCCTCTAGTTGCTACGCTCTTTTGTTCTTCGCTTGATGCTACGCTCTGACCTCCAACACGTTCTGGATGCTAGACTCTTAGGTTTTTCTTGGTCCTTCAACACGCTCTCTTGGTATTGCTCGCTTAGGTTTCTCTTGGAACTTCCAACACGCTCTTGGTGCTACACTCTTGGCTTCCTCTTGGAACTGCCAGCGTTCTCTTGATGCTAGCCTCCTGTGCTATGCTTTTAGCTTTGGAACTTCCAGCAGGCTCTTGATGTTACGCGCTCAACTCCCGCATGTTCTCAATGCTACACGCTCAATACTTTTTCATTGAACTTCCTGAGCTTTCTCCTGGAACACTCCGGCGCTCTCTTCGTTTGGGTTTGGTAAGAAGATAAGAAGGTTCTACTACAACTTAATGATTGATCCTTGCCTCAAGGATCTTCAACTGAGGTTGCAAAAGCACGCCACACGATCTTGATAATTACCTCTACGCTTTATATTTCGACATAACCTAGCCTTGGTGGTCAGGCCAAATCCCTATCTGCCCTCCGGCTCCTCTTCCTCTCTACATTCCTCTATTTATCTTCCCACATACAAAGAATACAGTACGCCTGCGCCCTTGCTCGTCATGCCTAGCCTGTCAACAGGCAATGTGTCGTCAGGCAATAATATACACACAATGCGTCGTCAGGGGGGTAATGCGTTGTCAGGGGGCAATGCGTCGTCAGGGAATGTGTCGTCACAATGCGTCGTCAGGGGGCAATGCGTCGTCAGGGAATGTGTCGTCACAATGCGTCGTCAGGGGGTAATGCGTCGTCAGGGGGGAATGCGTCGTCAGGGAATGTGTCGTCACAATGCGTCGTCAGGGGGTAATGCGTCGTCAGGGGGCAATGCGTCGTCAGGGAATAATATACACACAATGCGTCGTCAGGGGGTAATGCGTCGTCAGGGGGCAATGCGTCGTCAGGGAATGTGTCGTCACAATGCGTCGTCAGCGGGTAATGCGTCGTCAGGGGGCAATGCGTCCGTCGTCAGGGAATGCGTCGTCATAATGCGTCGTCAGGGGGTAATGCGTCGTCAGGGAGTAATGCGTCGTCAGGGAATGTGTCGTCACAACGCGTCGTCAGGGGGCAATGCGTCGTCAGGGGGCAATGCGTCGTCAGGGAATGTGTCGTCAGAATGCGTCGTCAGGGGGTAATGCGTCGTCAGGGGGCAATGCGTCGTCAGGAAATGTGTCGTCACAATGCGTCGTCAGGGGGTAATGCGTCGTCAGGGGGCAATGCGTCGTCAGGGAATGTGTCGTCACAATGCGTCGTCAGGGGGGCCGGGGACATCGCCAATGTGTCGTCACAATGCGTCGTCAGCGTCAGCGCGAAATGTCTTACCCAAGCTGCGGGTGCCCTGTATATATATATATATATGCATATATATATACGTGTATATATATATGTTTGTTCATATATACTTTTATATACATATGATGCTACGTGTAAAATTTAACTATAGGCTGCATATGACCTCATATGCATACATGCAGCCAAGAGGCAGGTTCTGCTCATCAGAGTTTCAAAATTTGAGTAAGAGCGGCGAGTTGTTCTGAGATCTTCAAACCTCTTCAAATCATGAGCCGGCCCACCTGCGACGGCAGAATTGCACTAATGAGGCGGATCGTGAAATCAGAAAAACAGAGTAACATGAAGAACTTTTGATGATATCGGTGATGAAGAAGGTCCTCCACAGATGAGATTTAAAAAATCAAAGCTGAAACCGCTGGAACTGCTGAAGCCGCTGAAGCCATGGATGCTGCCGAACGCCCAGATAATTATCCCACTCCCAGAAGCGAAAATGGAGTCGGACCAGTCAGACCCGAGAGCTGTGGATCATCAAAAAAAACTGACCGGCAGATTTGGGAAATGGCCAGGGACATATAGGTAGATGATGGCAGATGAATGCGAAGAACATGTTATATTTTGCAGTTTAAACTGCATTTTGTTGATTTTTGTCACGCAATGTGTGCAAACAAATCGTTTGAATTCTGACTTGGATCCTTCTAGAAGCCGGGCTTCATTTTTCTCTATCGGTCAGAAAAATACAGCTATCCCACTTGGGCACGCCCCAACCGGCAATTGTTTTCGATTGGGTTTACAACATTCACTTCAATCACATACGATTACTGCTGCCCTGGCCAGGTTGAATGAAGATCGGCAACGTCTTCGTTTGCAGGTGGGAGTTCTTTTTTGGACTTGTTGGGGCCACTCTATGTCTTTTTTGAACGAACGCATTCGAAATTGGAGGGCGAAAGGCACCATTTTGGAAGGTTGAAGAGCTGAAGTTCTCCAGTGGTGGTCCTGGCGGACGACGACAGGTGCCGTGGTTCTAAAACGGGGAAGTTGCCTGGGAGACTCGCAACGGCGATTTAGGCTTCAATAATTGGAGCTGACCACCAAAAATAATTGAACGGCGAGCTTGGGCTTTGGACCATCATACAATGTGATTTATCAACCACAAAAATTGGAATTCGAGCATGTCAAGAATGCATTTTTTCAAAAGCTGAAATGTTGTAATTCGTAAAATTCCCCACATGGTCACCATGAAACCCACTAAATCCAATGGCATAAGATGATAAACACACACACACACATATATATATATGATATATATGATATATATGATATATATGATATAATATATATATATATACGATAATATATATATATGATATATATATATATATGATAATATATATATATATATATGATATATATATGATATATATATATATGATATATATATATATGATATATATATGATACACATATATATATGATATATATATATAAATATGATATATATGATATATATGATATATATGATATAATATATATATATATACGATAATATATATATATATATGATATATATATATATGATATATATGATATATACCTTTACCATTACCGCAAGAAACCCTCAGTGTGGACACTGTTTAGGGAAAAACAACAACATCGACGACAACAACAGCAGCAACAGCAACAACAACAACAACCACCACAACCACAAAGCACAACCACAACCACAACCAAAACCAACAACAACCACCGCCGCCACCACCACCACTACAACAACAGGGGCTATAGCGACAAAAGCAACAACAACGTTTCGGACCTTTGTGGGCGCGCGCCGACATGCTAACTTTTTATTCATATCTTCAGCTGTAGGGGAAGATAAATAACTTTGCGGATCTTTCCAAAATGGGAAAGAATCTAAATCATGCCAATACTGCTGCAAGAAACCCATGCACTGCTAGACGCTCGAGGCGGTGATCGCTCTCGGTCAACAGGCTCAGACATGTCGAGTCCCCTAAAGGAATAAAGATAGACACATTAAATGCATACAACATATACATCAAGGAACAATATCAGAACAAAAACAACGGACGGCACATGGAAGTAAATATTTCAACTGACAAGTTAATGGTGGTCATCACGATTTTGTGTCCTTCAACATTAGCAATATATTTGAAAGTTTGATCTCTTTTCACATCTCTGTTTTTGCTGCTACTCTGCAAGGTCAACACAAAAGGGCAGCAGCATAAAAACAACTCGACTCAAACACCATGATCAAATTCATGAAGAGAATTTCTTATACCGTAACATCACGCGTGTGTGCAAGTGCAAGACAAGATCTTACAACGTAACATCACGCGTGTGTGCAAGTGCAAGAGAAGATCTTACAACGTAACATCACGCGTGTGTGCAAGTGCAAGAGAAGATCGTACAACGTAACATCACGCGTGTGTGCAAGTGCAAGAGAAGATCTTACAACGTAACATCACGTGTGTGCAAGTGCAAGAGAAGATCTTACAACGTAACATCACGCGTGTGTGCGTATGCCCCCCCCACCCCCCCCACCCCCCTGTTCCCCACCCCAAAAATAATAACATGTCATGCGGGCACAACTTCTAACTGACGGGCACAACTTCTAACTGACGGGCGCAACTTCTAACTGACGGACACAACTTCTCACTGACGGGCACAACTTCTAACTGACGGGCGCAACTTCTAACTGACGGGCACAACTTCTAACTGACGGGCGCATCTTCTAACTGACGGACGCAACTTCTCACTGACGGGCACAACTTCTAACTGACGGGCACAACTTCCAACTGACGGGCACAACTTCTAACTGACGGGCACAACTTCTAACTGACGGGCGCATCTTCTAACTGACGGGCACAACTTCTAACTGACCGGCGCAACTTCTAACTGACGGACACAACTTCTCACTGACGGGCACAACTTCCAACTGACGGGCACAACTTCTAACTGACGGGCACAACTTCTAACTGACGGGCACAACTTCTAACTGACGGGCACAACTTCAACGCAGCACCACGAAACACTGCCCACAGTGAGCGAAATGAAGATAAACGCGCCCTGACAGGCAGTTTTACGCTCTCCCCCGTGCGCGCCGACAGGGTTCCGGAAGGAACCAACAACAACACTAACAATAAGAAACCCGACCACAAGAACAACAACAAGAAAAACAGTAAACAAAAACAAGAGAAGCAACAAAACAACTTAAAAACCAACAACGACGACGGCGACAGCAACAGCAACAGCAACATCAACAACAACAACAGCAACAACAACAACAGCAACAACAACAGCAACAACAGCAACCACAATAGCGGCTCGTAGAATTTCCTTTCAGGTTGGTAGCCTCTATCCCCTAAGTGCTGTAAATACCATGCAGTATGAAGTATTATGTGCTCTAGCTTGCAAATGTTGCAAATACCAAACAAAATGAGAAGAACACAGTAGGTGCCTTATGTACTTTGGCAAGTTTTAGCTGCAAAATCGCGCAAATACCATGTGAAAAGCAAGGTTATAGCTTCCAAATGCTGCAAATACACAGGAAACAGGAACCCGAAAAAACATCTCCAAACTGACCCGAAAGAAAGAAACAAACTGACCCGCTGATTTTTTTTTACCCCCACCACAAAACCTTTATTTACCTCCACAAAAACACCATCAAAACAAGTTTCGATTATTATCGCATTACCATCCCATAGAAACATGAAAAAACAACCGCAGACACATCAACAAACCACCATTAACTTTTCCAATATTTTATTCCAATATTATTTCATTATTCTTTCATTGCTTCCCAATGATCCAATGACAACAAAATCAAACATCGAAATTCGGATACTGATGGATAACAATGGATAACCCATCGCTATTATTACCGCAGTCTTTTTATTACCCACCCTGTATTTTCCGCCAACATCTTGTTATTGCCCATCAATGATAAGTATCGAAGTATCCCAGGATTATTTTTTTACCATCCCAATTATCCATCACTATTTTTGATAGTAATGGAAAATGTTGGGCAATAGGATTTTGAATACAAATGGCTATCTTACGTCCGTTGTTGTTTCCATGACCATGGTCCAATAAAAACATTATCAATAGACATATGTACTATATGTATCGCATATGACTCACAATCATTACTATTTGTGATTAACCTAAATTGGATACTCCTTGGTTGGATAACAACAGTATGTTTACAATGAAATAACAATCGTTCTTACGTGTGTGACGAATAATCAAAATTTTTATTTTGTGATCGCTTTTATATTCAATCATGTGTTGGTGATGGCTGAATCGATATTGCCAATGGGGTAGTAATACTGATTATATAATATGAGACACATGATAGGGATAGTACTGTCTTTCCGATGATATTGCAATCATTGTTGTACCCTATAATAATAATGTTGTCATTAGTGTAGCATTCTGAATGGGATATGATAATTTACCAATGTCCTATTCGTATAGTTTACCATATATAATGGGATACTAGTCACCAGTATCATTATTTCTGGGATAACCATGTATTAGCATTATATTTTATAGCTCGCTAATCCTATGATTACCAATTTTCATATATTTTCATATTCCATTTTGCAGCCATTCTGCGATCTTACTATTATTTGTGGTATTTTTTCAAAGCCGCGCCGATGGCATACCCCACAAACTGATATCATTAACATCCTATTATTGATATCTATCATGAATATTCCATTGATAAATTCTAATTTATACCCATTACACTATGCGCTATATACTTTTGAACTTTTGATTTCATCCTATTAATTTTGATGGCGCCCCACAAGAATAAACATCATCGTCCAATTTTACACATGATTCAATGAGTTTGTTCATATCTCATTGATATCCCATCATTCATATCTACCATTGACAATCACCAACATAATAGGAACTAGTCATTATTGTATCTAACCGCCTAAATGATGATATCTAACACGATCATCGGTAACATCCGGATTGATGACCACTAATCATATTTAAACATTAGCAAAACATATCAGTATCTCGAATATTTCACATTATTTGTGATTATCTGTGATTATTTGTTGTTTTTTCTCTTCATGTTTATTTCTTTGTTTTTTTTGGTGTCTTTTGACCAAACAGATGGTGTTCCCAGCTGAAAAAATCCGAGGCCATCGATGACTTCGAGTCACACCTTGGCGAGGCCACAGAGAAGTTCGAGCGCAACCGCGGCAAGTTCGAACGCGTGGCCAGGCCAGACGGGCCACCGGCGGGCCACCGAAAGGGACGATGGCAATGGGATGGCAATGTGGGATTTCGCGGATCGAAAGATTTGCAGAAAATTTTTGGCGATATGATGAAATGCCAATGACATATATATGAAATATATAGAAATATTTTTCCCACTTCCAGGCATCAAAGGTTCATACCATGCCGCCTATGTGCATGATTCTCGAAAAAATACTGCCAATTATGTGCCTTGGTAATCGGGGAGCCAGCTCGTACCATGATGGATGATGGACGAGGCCTGTGCCATATGCTGAACCCATTCAAGGTAACAATCATTCTGCGCAGGGCAGTTGATTGAATAGCGTCCACTATGTACATCCTGATCCAATTGATCAGTAATGGCTTTTGGCAATACCACGGCAGAATTGCTCAGGATATTCCTTGTGGGCACTTGTCTTGAAAGAGCCATCTGCGTGATGCCCAATTGCCACTGAAGTTGGTCGAGACAATGCCGGATCTGAAGCTGCATACAGTGATCTCATGCACGAGGGTAGCTTTAGCGTCATGAGTCCTGTTGGCCTGGGAACGGTTGCGCCCCATCGCCATTGCTAAAATGGCGGAAGTCCAAACTGATGGCCAAGATGAATCTCTCGGTGGTGCGGGGTGCTCTGAAATGAAGTACATGCCATGGATCAGTTGGAAACAAGCCACTAGAGCTCCTTGAAGGAAAAAATTGAGCCCATTCGCAGTTGGTTGAGTTCTCTGTTTGAAAGGCTAGGCAACCCAAACAAGCGGGCCGCTGAACGGAGCAGGCGCGGCCAACGCTTTTCCGAATCGGGCTCTTGTTGGTATTGGGCTTCGCTAAAGGTTTCGCAGGGCGAGCCGATAATGGTTGCACCTTTGCCATGCTTCAATCATGGATGTGAGATCCTCTTTCTGAAGCTCCTTAATATTCGGGATTGCATTTGGAAGCACTTGGCCTAGCCGCACAAGATCCGCAAATAAACCATGAAGCCAAGAGTCTTGGCACTTTGCAAATTCAAGGTGAACACGGTTCTGTGTAATTTCTGGGCTGATCTGACAGACTTTGCGCGCATATCGGAGACGGTCCAAAGCAAGAAAAATGCGGACATCAGCTGTGTTGGTTTTGACAAGTGCCGTCTGATTACTTACATGAGCTTCCGGGCCTAAACGCAAAAGCTTCCTGAGAAATGCAAAATACGTTTGGCGTAGCAATCGCATCTGTCGCAGTGATGGGGCCCGCCAAGATCCTATAGGCCGAAATATAGACGGGTGCCTACCAGGGCCTGGAAAGGCGGACACGAGTTGACAAAGGAAGATGCCGATTGCAGAGTTCTGGTTTCGACAGCTGGGTGAATGCATGTTTAGCCTGTCCTTTACGATGCCTCAGTTCAACTGTCAAGTCATGTTCGGATGAAAACATCACACCTAGGTGCTTGTAGGTTGGTGTAATGGGCACCCATTGATCTCTGGCATCTGTCATTGTGCAATGCAAGCCAGGTGAATCACAGAGCAAAAACTGCCGACAAAAATCGGATGCCCCTGGCCCTGTAAACGTCAAAACAACATTCGTTTTGCCCTGTCCGAAATGGAGTTCAAATCCACGTCTAGTGAACTGGTGGTCCACTTGGGCAATCAAAAGTTGGAGTTCATCAATGAGTTGTTGTGGATGATGGGCTGCCCATGGTATGGCAACATCATCTGACCAAATGATGGTCACTGGGCTGATTCCGGCCTCCTGCATAATGCTTCGCAAAGAAGTTTGCTGGCCAATCCATTCCTCAATATCTGTCCTTACACTAGTCATGAGAACATGGAAGATGATATCAGCCAGCGGACTGCCAGGCCTGGTGCCACATCTAGTTCGAATGATCTCGCTGCCTGACAATGTAAACCATGTGTTAATGTGTACCTCTAAGGAGACTCTTGAGGTGTTCAGAGCATCCAATGTCATCGAGCAAGCACGTCACACGATCACGAACACATGTGGCATCAAACGCCTGGCCAGAGGCTTGGAATGTTCAAGATCTTGGAATGCTCATGTCAGAACTTCTCGGATGAGCCTATGGAAAGCGTTTGCGAGGTCAATGAAAAGGACTGCTGAGCAAAGCTTGGCATTGTCAAATAGCTGCATCAGCTGAGAACGGAGAAGTCCATGCATGCGCTTGGCAATGGAAGCTACAAGCAGAATTCCGCGGTGGTTTTTGGCAAGGTTCAAGCCCCCTTTTTTGGGAATTAGGCACATGACACCCCCTTTGAACTGCAGGGGCTCCATAGCCCAAACATGAATCTTAAGCAAAAGTCATAGAAGAATTTTGCAAGTCGCGGTGCGCACTGATGGAACAAGCCAGATGGAATAGGGTCTAGTCCAGTGGCTTTTTTTGGTTGTGTGGCACGCAAGGATGTCTCAAATTCGGTCAATGTTGGAACATCTCGAAGTCTGCGTGTCTTCGAAGGCATTGATTGAAATTCCATTTTTTGTCTAGTGTCACACGCCTGCAGGAGCATCTCTGTTGTTGTCTGCTCACCGAGTTCAAGCTGACAGAGGTATGGAATCATGTGATCTTCTAAGCACACCAACTTCGCAGGAGCCAGATTTAGGCGCCTTTGCTTGAATTTGGGAAGTGGCCGCCTGATCACTTGCCCGAGTTCTCTGGAATCTGCAGGGGATAGGAATTCAGCTCCAGCCCGAAGCAAACTGTGATAACATCTAGAATCGTCTTGTCGAACCGCATGAGTGACGAGCTTACCCAAACGACAAAATTCAAACAATCTGCGAGCAATCGACACATCTTGGTCTGCAAGCAAATCTTGTGTGGCTGGCATCACTTGCGTAGTGCAGTATCGCCAAGTTGCAAAGAGCGCATTCATGATCTGATAGGAAGCTTTTGCATCCTCACAAGGTTAGCAAGATGACTGCGGCATTCTCGTTTTTGGCAAATTGGCAAATAAGGTCCCGTGTGTCCGCTGTCAGAGTCGTTTTTAATGGTCTCTTTTCTCGATGAGGTTGTTCACGCCGCAGAACTTCATACAGTTGGGTGTTGAGGTGTCCTGCATGTGTGTGAACATCAACCTCTGGACTGATGGGGCGGCACTGGTATGGCAATGACACAAGATCATCAAGATTGGCCGTTGAAGGCATTCTTAGTTTGGGCACACCCTGAGGCCGGCTGACAGGCGATCTGCGAGGAGCAGGAAAGCGTATTTCAACACAAGCCGGAAGGTGGTCAGTTTTGGTGATTGAAGGATCAGTCGTATCACCAGTCCAGGCCGTACATTGGGCGACCGGCCATGCTCGAGGTATGCCCACATAGGATATGCATCAACATGTCCATTAGGGTGGAACCAAGTTTCACCGGGACCTGTGTGAAAGGCATCAAAGGTAGCTGGCAGCCAAATCTCATGCTTTCGGATGAAGTCTGCAAAATGATCTGCCTTGGTTCCATCAGCTCCCGCATGTGGGTTTCTGATCCTCCTTTTTCTTGTCAATTTGTGCTGCAACGGAACTGTTTTTTTTATTTTCGCAGGAACCCTACCGGGCACATTGGTACTCCACGTCTTTTTCGGTTTTCATGGATCAAAACAGCAGTTGCGCTGACACTTGGCTGAGATTCTGGGGAGGACGTGTGGAGGTGACGACTTGGGATCCACCATTTTAAGAGACCACTTATTGATGGGGTGTGAGTGGCCATAGTTGGGGCCACACACAATTGGTTCAAAACATACCCTCTGGTTATGACTAACAGTTTGCCATGGAAAATCACCATTTTTAATAGGTAAATCATCTATTTCTATGGGCCATTTCCCATGGCTATCTTAAATAACCAGAGGGTAGATCTAAACACATCACCCTCCTTACAAGTAACGCTCCAGCGTGCTTTTAGATCTGTTTTAGGATACCATTTGATGGTCCTACTGCTGGGGGGTCTTCGGATGTACGATTCTAACCTTGACCCACCTTTTTTTTCCCGGGAACTGTAGCTGTTTCCCAAATGTTCCTCTTGAGGATATGAAGGACAAGTGTGATGACTCCACATCAGGCACAGCTGTGCAGCTGTGTCCGGATGAACCAGCTGTGATTGCCATTTTCATGGGTTTCAATGACTGGTTTACCGGGGTTCAATGGGGATTTCATGGGAAATTACCCATGTTTTGATGGGGATGATGGATGATCAACTTCTGATAAACCAGCAAACACGGGTGTTTCCCAAGATTTTTGGACAAACCCATGTGTTCAATGTTTGGGGTTCAATGACTGGTCACCCTTGGTCCTTGATCTCCGCCCTGGAAGAGCATACGAAGATATTCTGGAGATGTATAAGCAACACATTCTGCGGATAGTGGCCAAGCAACAATGAATAGTTTGTGGTTCCAACTTATCCCAAAAGTATGAAAGTCCAGCTTTTATCTATCAGTTTCAAACAGATGAGGATTTTTGAATGTTTGTTTCTGTTTTTGAAGCCATTTCCAACAGAATCGATTTTTGTTTCTTATCCCACAGGCCGGTGCCCGCATGGCCAACTTCGTTTCAAACTCCAATGACCAGAGTCCAGATGCGGGTGATATCGAACGATGTACTTACAATGTGTTGCCCCCGCCCCAGTTATAAGTTGATCTAGTTCGATATATCTACCAGGAGTCCTAGTTACCTAGTTATTAGAGTTATGTTCACGAACTTAGCTATCGAACGGGGACACCACATCGTAATAGGGTTTCAGGCAATAATATGATACATATGATATCATATGATAATGATAATATATATATATATAATACATTATATACAGCAAATATATATATATACATATTATGTATGTATCCAAAGCAACAACAACTGAGGGTTTCTATCCAACTACCACGAAACAGGGGGATTTTTCCAAACCGCAGGGCTTCTCCGCTTCATGTGCGGTGAGACCTGTGGCTGTACTTCGCCCTACAGCAATCCTTGGTATCGTGCAGCTTGGTGATGGAGATTTTGCCCGGGAAAAATGGGAGAAATATGGGGAAAATATGGGGGAAACACACGGAAAACATGGAAAATCACGATGAACAGATGATAAAACATGGCTAAAACTTGGTATTTGAGCAGGAAACGCAGTAGTTTTACCATGTTTCACTTCAAAACAGATGGGGATATGGAGGGTTCACCAGCAAGAAATGGGATGAATGATAGCGCACCAAGCAGTGATGCGGTTGGAAGAATTTTGGTCCAACGGCCACGGTGCATCACATCCTTCAGTTACACTTGGATATTATGAATCGATCATGGTGATATAATTGCTTATTATTGGTTGGTGGTTTCAAACATGAATTTTATTTTCCATTTCATATATGGGATGTCATCCTTCCCATTGACGAACTCCTATTTTTCAAGATGGTTAAAACCACCAACCAGATATTAATGCAACCATGTATGAACTGGATAAACATGTATAAATGGGATATCCAAAGCCAGGATGCCAGGTATATATGGGGTGAACTGACCCATTATGATTCCTGGGTCCCTGTCCAACATGGTGATGGCAGTCAAGACGGCTTAAAGTTTGTTGCCGAATCTGTGATTACAGAGCAACTAGCATTGAAAGCATTGATCTTTCTTTTTTGATGGATCATGATGGATCTAAATTGACAAAACACCCCAGTTTCCCGATTTCTAACCAACTTTTCCTGCTTTTTCAATGAATCAATGTGCCATGGTTGACCATCGATCGACCATGCCCAGGTAATTCAACATGGCTGCACTGCAGCGTGTATCGAAGAAGCCAGAGACGTTGCTTCACGGGCAGTTTGTGAGGAGCTGCCATGGGCCCCATGGGCACACGTCCAGAGTGGAGGGACCCAGGGACCCCAGGGAAAGGTGATCAGTTGGGTTTAGTGACTAGTAAAACATGGTAAAACCTACATGCTTGTGTCTGAAAATGGGCTATACCCCTAAGAATTTTAATGGGATGATTTTGATGTTCAAACCATGACAATCTTGTGATCATTTTCCAAGGCAACACCGGAATCCGTGGGTCAAAACTTCGCGTTGCGAAGTTGGCACTGATTTATTTGACATGCCCCATATATTCCTCATATATTCACCATATTCACTTGGCCATGGATCAATACCTATAAGTACCATTTTTAGGGGAATGAACATCCATTTACCAGCTATTTTGATGTTCACCAGGGGTACAAGGTTTTGACACACTGCCACTTCGTTAAAAAGGCCCAAGTAATCATCAAAACCAAGCGATCGCAGTCCAGTGGGCGCCCACTTCAGCAACCAGGAGAGGCGTATTTGCGACATCAATATCATCAATCCATCTCTGAGATTCATAAGGGCCATGGTTCACTTTGTTTTTCATCCCGTTATTCACCGCAAATAGCGGTAGTTATGGGTTCGAATCCATTATCCCCCTAACCGGCTAGAAATTCATGTGTAAACATGGCGACTATGCTGGACACGCCCTGGCTGCATCACTTTCGCTAGGACATGGATATGACAGCTTCGCCCTGGAAGGACATTTGGGTGTGGCTCGTCTGGTGATTCGTTCACCGTAGATGAAACCAGCAGGTTGGCTGGCTATTCTTGTGTTTTTTTAAAATTACTGCACTAACTTTTGACTGATACCAAAATTCAGAAAGTCCATTCTGGAATTTATGAGAAAAGCAATTCGAACACTGTGGATTTCTGTCATTTCCCGTGAATGCTTTCAGACAAACCAAACTTTACCTTTGCAAAGCTCCTGTTAACAGCAGATGACATCAGGGTGTGGAGGGCTCCTTAATGATTGTATAATCAGCCAACCAGCCAGTTTTATTTCGACATTTCGACCTACCAGGTATGATCTGGGCATGATTTTTATGGATATTTTTGGTCTCTTTTGGGCACATATGGCTGAAGATTTCAGATATTTCAGCAAGCTTCACCCGTTTTTTTTTTTCGGACTCCGAAGTTGTCATCATCATGTCATGGGGTTCCGTTCCAGTCGCCACTTGAGGCAGTTCTGGACTCAGTACCGCCAAGTGATCCATTCCCATGGGTGCCTTGGGCATCGGCAGATTTCGGCAGATTTTTTTCCCTGAGCTGCTGGTGATCCACCAAGTGGAAAAGATGGAGGTTGGTAACGGTTGGTATATGATGGTAGATTTATATGGTATATATATATATATATGTATGGTAAATAAATGGATAATCTACCAATATATAGAGCAATGTATATATATATATACTGGTTGGTGGTTTCAAACATGACTTTTATTTTCCATAATTGGGAATTTCATCATTCCAACTGACGAAGTCCCTCATTTTTCAGAGGGGTAGGTATACCACCAACCAGGAGGTGTACTGTAGGGCTGTAGGGTAAACGTTTGTGGAAATCAAGCATGTGGTTCGATGATTTTCAGGTTTCACCATAGGTTTTCCACATCGTTAGTCTACCCGAATGGGTACCCTTATTGAGGCCCGGTCTACAGTTCAACTCAAGGATCCGGATCTTCGAAAGATTCGTATCCAGTGTTTAAAACATGGTAATAATGTGGGTAAATTGATGGTTAATGATGGTAAATGATGGTCATAATTCGTGGTTAATGATGGTAAATGTGGGTAAAACATTCAAATATTGCATAAACTGGCCATGATGAAGGGATTTTTTTTGAATCCCAGCTTTTTGCAAATGGTGTTTTTTCTGGGGGATGGTGCGTTTATGGCATTGTTTTACCATGTTTTACCCACATTAATATTAATCAAATACCAGAATACCCTCCGGTAGTCAAATGGGCTTGCTGGACAATGCACCAGCATTTGGGTGTGTCTGAAAATAGTGTACCCCATTTTCCCAATGGTTTGCTGATCATTATCCCTATAACAAATGGCTATTTCATTGGGAATATACCCAACATTTTCAGACAAATCCATTTGGTTCGATGATTTTCCCAGCTATATAAAAACCTCCATTTAGTGCGGGGATTTTCCCAGCTTGCCACGTTTGATGAGGCAGCTTGGCTCGGCCTTTTTCAACGTAGGTTTCAAATTCCAAGTTGTTGGTTCGTTGCAGGGTCATAGAACTTCAGCAAATCGGATAAAGGTGTCCTAAAATATGGATATCCCATGCATTTTCCCATTGATCACCAATTGTTTGGATGATAACTTGGGTGTACCTGGATTGGAACCCCCCGAATGTCAACGAAAGGCAAACCGCCACTAAGGATTGATCTTGATGGTGATGATTTCGGGTACATGAACGGTATGATTGGAAACATGACGGTGATGGGATGTGCAGGAGCCCCGGCTTTGCTGAATGGATGGAACTGGATGGCACTAGGAATTTCGATGAAATTAGGAGCTGTAGTCATAAGTTATATTCTCCAGAATATTTTTTCGGAACCAAGGAATCCAATATGATTTTCGAAATGATTTTTTCATTTTTCATTTTTATAAGTAATTCATGTTCCACGAATTTGATCCAGGAAAGAATCACCAGAAACCCTAATACCTTAACTGGGGAAAATATGAAAATTGCATCGAGACTGGCCTCGTTGGGAACATGGCCAGCAAGTTGGGCTCCAAATTTTAAGACCCCATTTCTCCAGGTTTCTTCGGCTCAGGAAAATGTTTTGTTGCGGCACCTCGGTGCTTCCATTTTGCCTCAGTTTTTTTTAAGGAAATCCGCTGTAAATCCCATGGTATTTTTCCATTGCACGCGGGTTCGGGTACACGCGCGCACCTTGAAAAGCGTCAAAGCCGCAAAGCCGCAAAGCCGCCATGGAACGCTCAAGCCGCAAAGCCGCAAAGCCGCAAAGCCGCAAAGCCGCAAAGCCGCCATGGAACGCTCAAGCCGCAAAGCTGCAAAGCCGCAAAGCCGCCATGGAACGCGCAAAACGCAAAGCCGCAAAGCCGCAAAGCCGCAAGGCCGCAAAGCCGCAAAGCCGCAAAGCCGCAAAGCTGCCATGGAACGCTCAAGCCGCAAAGCCGCAAAGCCGCCGAGCCGCAAGCTCTGCGACTCATGCGCCGCCTCCTGCGTTCATCGCCGCTGCGTTGCCACCGCCATGGATCGCTGAAGCCGAAAGCCACAAAGCCACAAAGCCGCAAAGCCGCAAAGCCGCAAAGCCGCAAAGCCGCAAGCTCTGAGACGCAGGCGCCGTCTCTTGTGTTCATCGCCGCTGTGTTGCCACATTACATGCTCGCATCGTCATGATATTCATCGCGCAAGCGCTTGCGTTCCCCTTGGTGCCGTCTCATAGCCTGCCGAGCATATTCCAGCATAGCTTCTCTTCGACGGAGACTCTGCTGCTCCAAATGCTCCTGAGCTATCTCTGCAAGCTGCTGAACTGACCCTTCGTCCTCTGCAGTTGTGATGGCAGGGGCAGTAACCTTCTCGTGCATGCCTGGGTATGCCAGTGCCGCAGGCGCCAGAGCCCACTCAATCAATCCGGGGTGCTCCTCTTCAAAAGGGTTGTGGGAGCCCCTGCAACGTCAACAAGGACAGGCGTTCTTCACGTTTCCGTGGACCGTCATGGCTCAAGGCCCGAACCAACTGAGTAAGGTGGAGGCTCAGCGCCATGTTAAAAGCGCGGTATGTCGTCGACTTCTCGAACCACGCATCCTCTTTAGCGTATTGCCAAAAGCTATACCGCGAGCAGCATAACGAAAACACCTCCTGCTGATTGAACAAGTTCTTGGCGTTCATCGTAGAGTCCGGAAGACACGTCTCTGCACACTGGTTCAATGCTGTCTTGAAGCCCTTAGCCCAGTTGCTGGCCTGCTGTGAGGGCAGTCTCAGGGAAATGCCAGTGATGCGCAAGCGTGGCTTGCCTGACTTGCATTCCACCACCGATCGTCCAACTTCAGCCCCAGTCCTGCTACAGTCGCATCAGGATTTAGGTTACCCTTTAGTTTACTGCAGGGATTGTGCACGAAGATTTGAGATGTTTGGAGCAATGCTTAGGGTCCGAGTATCCTCGAACCCAGAAACCAATTCACATTTCCGAAAAATCTATTCTGACTGTGCTAGAGACCGTCTTACATATACTACCCACCCTCCTGCCACGACATTGTTTCACAGACGGTCCAAGGGCTAAACTTCCATCTCGCGCGGCCAACTTCCTACATACCTACGCGTGCGAGCGCACCATTGAAAAACAACAGACATACTCCCGTAGATGGACGAATTATTCAAACCCTTATACATATAGAGCAACCCCCCTCACCCCAAATATCAATGTTATTTTCTTGTTTGGTTCGTTCCTTCGAATGGACGAAATAAATCAAACCCCCAGAGCAGGAACAGCGCTACGAAACCATAACGTTGAAATTCCGGGGAGGTAGGGGGTGGCCTATAACTCATGGATAGGGGTTTGAATAATTTGTCCATCTACTGTCGCACATCTCTCACGTTGTCTCCGCTTGGCCCATGTGGCCCATCCATCCTATCCTTATTCCCTGCCCTCAATCCCCCTACTTGCCATTCCTCCTGTTCTTCACGATCTGCTCCAACGGGCATGCAACATGAACAGCGGCTCCTGCAAAAAGCTCAAGCGGAGTAAACCCCCACTCGTAGCAAAAGTCTCGCTGTGTGGTGATCCACACGCCGGTCACCCCGTGACTTCGTTTGGAGGACCGCAGTCCCTGCATCAATATCGTAGGCAGGATGCTACTGCGCGTCCCATGGAATCCCTGGACCTCGTTCTCGACGATCGGGGTGCCGTCCTGGTACGTGGATGCATCCAGCGCCGTCTGGAAATCCATCTTCTACATATTGAAAAGCCAGCTGATCGAAATCCAGCTTGGCCATCGGCATCTCATGGGATTCATGGGTCTCTGATGTCTTTGATCGACTCCCAGATCCCTCACATCCCCCAAAGAGCACGCCCCAACTTATTTCGAAACGCATGCAGCAGCTGCAGACCAAATTGCCGTGACTCCTGGCTCCACTCCCCCAAGGAAACAGCGCTGCGGTAATGCAGGCGCAATAGCCGCAGGGTTCCTCGTCCATGCAGAGAAGCCAATACCAGGCCTCTGCCCTCCTGAAGCCACAGACTCAGACTGCGCAACTGATCTAGCCACGTTTTCCCAGTTGCTACTGGCTTCTGTCGAGTCCTCGGCTTTCAGCGCCTCCAAAGAAGGGAACCCGAGCATCTTCGTGTATTTTTCCATGGACGACTCCATGGCTGTAAGGTTTAGAGCTAAATGCCCTAGTCCATAACCAAATGTCATTGAAACTCAGTGCCCTTACTGACATGCTAGTCCTTTCTTGTCGACATCAATCTTCTCACAAGAAAACTCTCCACATCTGGTTTTGATGCCGCACGGTCGATGGGGTCCCTTCGGGAAAGTCAATATTAAAAATCTAGATCCCTTTTCGATAAAAGCTTGCCCAAAATCTAGATCGTTCCGGAGAGAGAGGATTTCTCGAAACGCTTGTCCATCTATTCCGGAACGACTATATAGATTTACATATATAACTAGCTCTATATGCATATCCACGCCTATGCATGAAAGCGGGAAATAGATAATAATTTAGATGAAAAACTTCTAAGTGGCCAACACGAAAATTCCAAGTTACAAACCATTGACAACTACTGAAGCTCACAAAGCCAAAGCCTCAAGAAGCGCCAAAGCGTCAAAGAGTTGCAAAGCGCCACAGCGCATAGCAGCGCCAAAGCGTCAAAGACGCCAAAGCGTCACAGAGCCGCGAAGTCTCAAAGCGCCAAGAAGCGCCAAAGCGTCAAAGAGCCGCAAAGCGCCAAAGGGCCAAGAGGCACCAAAGCATCAAGAGCGCCAAGCGCCAAAGCGCCAAAGCGCCAAAGCGTCAAAGAGCCGCAAAGCGCCAAAGGGCCAAGAGGCACCAAAGCATCAAGCGCCAAAGCGCCAAAGCGCCAAGCGCCAAAGCGCCAAATCGCCAAGCGCCAAAGCGCCAAAGCGCCAAAGCATCCAAGCGTTCAGGCTTTGAGGCTTTGAGGCTTTGAGGCGTAGGACACGCGCCAAAGCGCCAAAGCATCCAAGCGTTCAGGCTTTGAGGCTTTGAGGCTTTGAGGCGTCGGAAAAGCGTCAAGAAGCGCCAAAGCGTGCAAGAGCCGCCAAGCGCCAAAGCGCCAAAGCGCCACAGCATCCAAGCGTTCAGGCTTTGAGGCTTTGAGGCGTCGGAAAAGCGCCAAGAAGCGCCAAAGCCTGAAAGAGCCGCCAAGCGCCAAAGCGCCAAAGCGCCAAAGCGCCAAAGCATCCAAGCGTTCAGGCTTTGAGGCTTTGAGGCTTTGAAGCGTGAGGCGCCAAAGAGGCTTTGCAGCTTTGAGGCTTTGAGGCTTTGAAGCGTGAGGCGCCAAAGAGGCTTTGCAGCTTTGAGGCTTTGAGGCGTGAGGCGCCAGAGAGGCTTTGGAGCTTTGAGGCGTGAGGCGCCAAAGAGGCTTTGCAGCTTTGAGGCTTTGAAGCTTTGAGGCGTGAAGCGCCAAAGAGGCTTTGCAGCTTTGAGGCTTCGCAAACCTTAGCGGGCCTGATCCCCCATAGTCTGTATTTTTCCAAAAACCCAAAAAACCATCTGTGGATATATGGATATATACTAATATCGTTATATGAATGACATATTATGGATCCTTCATGATCCAAGAATCTCGATAATATCATATATACATAATTATATATCATATAATATATATATTACCCTCTGGTTATTTAACATAGCCATGGAAAATGGCCCATTTATAGATGGTTTACCTATGTTTACCTATTGAAAATTGTCATTTTCCATGGCTATGTTAGTCATAACCAGATGGTAGATTTCTGGTGCCATGTTTCTGTGCCCACCTGCCACCCATCAAAAATTGCTGAGATGAACCACCCATCTGCCGGGCTTCCCAAAGACCATCCTTATTGGACACGGCAGAAATTGCAGGATTGCAGGTGATTCCTTGGGGCGAGGATATCGTCTTCAATACCAAGTTTTGCGAAGGTGAACCATCCGAAAAAAACTGGGGGATGGTGGAAAGGGGGCTGGAAATTCCACCCATTTCTATCCATTTCTGCTGTGCTAAATGGGGATGGTTTGTCTGAAAACCCATGGGCCCATGGGTTTACGGAACTTTTGAAAGTTGGAAGCTGGCTGGAAGACATCACCCAACATAACCCTGACCAGAATAGGCCTCTGGCATCCTCTGGCAATGATGGCATAGGATCATCTTCCATTGATGTTTTTCCCACTCAAACCTCCATTGATCTCCATTTTTTAGCAGTGGCTGCGATCTACCCCTGTTGGTTGATGATTAGTTGGGGGATGAAAAACTACCCTTCATATAATATGTTGGGGATTACAATAATCCAAGAACGGGGAATCCCTTTCTCAACCAACCAGGATTAAATGGAATGATATTTAACGGGATTTTGAACACTGCTCATATGATCAAACGTTTTCGACCAGGATCCACCAAGTGTTCTGGGGCTGTGTTTTCTTGATTACATCGACCCTTTGTTTGAAGCCGCTTTTGTTTTAATCGATCTTTCCGCATCTTCTGTTGCTTCACATGGTTCAAAACCCTTCATGATTTTTGTAGTGTGGGGCAACCCTTCATAATAAACATGAATGTTTACCTACCATGACTGGGGATGCTTCGAAAGCCATGGCGATTTGCTAGGGATCCCCTAGCGAGTTTATCCCTTTCAAAGTGGCTGGGCTTCGCAGGAATCCAAGGCACCAACCTGCCTGTAACCGCGAAAAACCAATGGCCGTGATGCATTGTGGCCATACCAAAATCATGGCCAGTGATGATTTTCAATGAAACCGGAAAGCCCCATGATCTTCATGGGAAAATCCATGGTTTCCGGTGAAGATTTTCCCTTAAACCAATCCGTTGAGATTTGTACTATATTCCTAGTTATACTCGTAACCCTGTTTTTTGAAATCGGTAGCGTCAACCCCGGAAAACGCGAAGCCACTGGGCTGTGAAACATTGGGCCTTTTGGGGCAATCAACTAGTAGCAGAGTATCACTATTTGGGGGTAAGCACCCTCAATCAAGCTGGGTATTCATCATATTCTTGGTTCTTATATATCCATATATCCACATATTCTATTGGGTTACCATTACATAGATATTAACCATATTATGATTATCACCCTAAACCTATCCTACTCATTAATTGGTATCCGTATTATACGGGGATGGGTCAAAACCTATTATTACCATATTTGGAAGAATCAACATCCATTAACCAGCTATTTTAGGTACCATCCGGGTGCCAGGGTTTTGACTCACAACCATATTTCAATTATATCACCCAATAAACCTCTCCACATACATCCATATATACATATATCCACACACACTTGCGAAGTCATGAAAGACGGTCTCTTTTCATGAATGCAAAGTCTGATTACCTCATGGTAGATTGAAGGCATCACTCGGCCATACCGAGTTAAAAAAGGCCAAGCTTATCCGTTGACATTTGAATGTCAGGTTGTTTAAAAGAGAAACCAATACGGCTCAATCAAAAGTGATCATGAAATGACTGAATGACGGCATGCAGGTTCTTGGGTTAGCCTGATCCCATAAAGTACTAACAGATACGAATATGACCACCAGCTATGACCCCAACATATTGGGTATGTCATCCAGGTGCATCATGCAGGTACGTTTTCACAACCTAAGGTGAGCGTCTTCATTGGCACAAGACTCACCAAAGGTCCTTGTGCCCCCTGCTGTGAATTAAGGTGCAATGGTATCCATAATTTATGGAAGAAAGCAGTTAAAAAACTAGTTGGTTGAAATCAGCCGCAAAAAGTGAGGAACTCTTCGGTACAGAGCTTGACACACACAAAAAGGCACGTAGCCGGGCTTGTATTCCTTTAAAGGCGAGAATGGAAGACATCATCAAGAGATTTGTGAAAAAACCGCAGAGGAACATTTGCAACCTCATCAGCGTGTCAGTAAATATTTTTGCCACAGCCAAAAGGTTAGGTATGCTTGAACTGCCTTCTGTACAGGACGCGTTGGCAGTCTGTTTTGGAGAACCCTTTCTGTACATACAGCTGAATGAGTTGGTTGAGATCATCACGGACAAATTCTTTGGGAAACGTGTATCTGCGAATTAAGGTTGCACGGGACTTTAGTCCGGACAAGCGGAGACGCATGCTGCCAGCAGAATGGAGATGACGAATTTCCCATAGTGGAGGTACTTGGTACCTTACGGTTCGTTGCACTACGTCAATGGTGAACCCAAGGAGTGTACCATCTTGGACGGTTTCCAACTCCACCGGCGCTTGATAAAAGAAACAATCGGAAAGCACTCGCATGGGCAGTGCGGAGCGAAAACGGTGGTCAAACAAAATGAATCTGTTGTCCACATATCTTGTGAACAGAAGCCTTTCTGTACATATAACCGAGATAGTGCGTGCAACGAACTCTGTGCTTGACAGGACGGAAATGAATATTTACGAATTAAATGAGCTCGACTCTTCAGTCCGCTCAAACGCAATCGGAGGGTTCCGGCTGAAATGATTGTTCTTTCAGAAACATCAGCATAAAAGCCGAGAAGTAAAATTGTCGGCAACCAGCTCCAGTTCGACTGGACTAACATAAAAGTCCAAGTCTGTAAACACTTGGAACACTGGAGCCTGAAGATGGTGCTTCTGTACAATGACAAAACGGCTGTCGACGTACCTGATTGCAAGATGATGAAAATTTGGTTGGGTCAGAACTTCTTGATAGGTACTGCTCCACGATCTCTCGATAAGCGTCACGGCCAAGTTCGAAAGTGTCGGACAAATCTGACTTCCTATTCCAGCGCCCCTGATTTGGCGCCATACAACACCAAGTGCTGTGAAAAAGTGAGTCCGCTGTACACGTGGGTCGACCCCCTGCCTTAAAACTGAAAAATGGAAAAACAGAAAAACAGGAGAAAGAAAAAAAAAAAACGCAAATCCCTTGGAAACAGGGGTTGACTCTACACACAAAGGCCTATCGCCGCTGGTATTTGTCGGCCACAACGCACTGCGAATATCTGACAAAGCGAAGCCTTTCTGTACATATAACCAAGATAGTGCGTGCAACGAACTCTGTGCTTTATACAGGACGGAAATGAATATTTACAAATTAAATGAGCTCGACTCTTCAGTCCGCTCAAACGCAATCGGAGGGTTCCGGCTGAAATGATTGTTCTTTCAGAAACATCTACATAAAAGCCGAGAAGTAAAATTGTCGGCAACCAGCTCCATTTCGACTGGACTGCCATAAAAGTCCAAGTCTGTAAACACTTTAAACACTGGAGCATGAAGATGGTGCTTCTGTACAATGACAAAACGGCTGTCGACGTACCTGATTGCAAGATGATGAAAATTTGGTTGGGTCAGAACTTCTTGATAGGTACTGCTCCACGATCTCTCGATAAGCGTCACGGCCAAGTTCGAAAGTGTTGGAGAAATCTGACTTCCTATTCCAGCGCCCCTGATTTGGCGCCATACAACACCAAGTGCTGTGAAAAAGTGAGTCCGCTATACACGTGGGTCGACCCCCTGCCTTAAAACTGAAAAATTGAAAAACTGAAAAACAGAAAATTCGCAAACCCCTTGGAAACAGGGGTTGACCCTACACACAAAAGCCTATCGCCGCTGGTATTTGTCGGCCACAACGCACTGTGAATATCTGACAAAGCGAAGCCTTTCTGTACATATAACCGAGATAGTGCGTGCAACGAACTCTGTGCTTGACAGGACGGAAATGAATATTTACGAATTAAATGAGCTCGACTCTTCAGTCCGCTCAAACGCAATCGGAGGGTTCCGGCTGAAATGATTGTTCTTTCAGAAACATCACATAAAAGCCGAGAAGTAAAATTGTCGGCAACCAGCTCCAGTTCGACTGGACTACCATAAAAGTCCAAGTCTGTAAACACTTGGAACACTGGAGCCTGAAGATGGTGCTTCTGTACAATGACAAAACGGCTGTCGACGTACCTGATTGCAAGATGATGAAAATTTGGTTGGGTCAGAACTTCTTGATAGGTACTGCTCCACGATCTCTCGATAAGCGTCACGGCCAAGTTCGAAAGTGTCGGACAAATCTGACTTCCTATTCCAGCGCCCCTGATTTGGCGCCATACAACACCAAGTGCTGTGAAAAAGTGAGTCCGCTGTACACGTGGGTCGACCCCCTGCCTTAAAACTGAAAAATTGAAAAACAGAAAAACAGAAAAATTCGCAAATCCCTTGGAAACAGGGGTTGACCCTACACACAAAGGCCTATCGCCGCTGGTATTTGTCGGCCACAACGCACTGTGAATATCTGACAAAACGAAGCCTTTCTGTACGTATAACCGAGATAGTGCGTGCAACGAACTCTGTGCTTTACAGGACGGAAATGAATATTTACGAATTAAATGAGCTCGACTCTTCAGTCCGCTCAAACGCAATCGGAGGGTTCCGGCTGAAATGATTGTTCTTTCAGAAACATCAACATAAAAGCCGAGAAGTAAAATTGTCGGCAACCAGCTCCAGTTCGACTGGACTACCATAAAAGTCCAAGTCTGTAAACACTTTGAACACTGGAGCCTGAAGATGGTGCTTCTGTACAATGACAAAACGGCTGTCGACGTACCTGATTGCAAGATGATGAAAATTTGGTTGAGTCAGAACTTCTTGATAGGTACTGCTCCACGGTCTCTCGATAAGCGTCACGGCCAAGTTCGAAAGTGTTGGAGAAATCTGACTTCCTATTCCAGCGCCCCTGATTTGGCGCCATACAACACCAAGTGCTGTGAAAAAGTGAGTCCGCTGTACACGTGGGTCGACCCCCTGCTTTAAAACTGAAAAATTGAAAAACAGAAAAACAGAAAAATTCGCAAATCCCTTGGAAACAGGGGTTGACCCTACCCACAAAGGTCTATCGCCGCTGGTATTTGTCGGAAAACCGAGATAGTGCGTGCAACGAACTCTGTGCTTGACAGGACGGAAATGAATATTTACGAATTAAATGAGCTCGACTCTTCAGTCCGCTCAAACGCAATCGGAGGGTTCCGGCTGAAATGATTGTTCTTTCAGAAACATCCACATAAAAGCCGAGAAGTAAAATTGTCGGCAACCAGCTCCATTTCGACTGGACTACCATAAAAGTCCAAGTCTGTAAACACTTTGAACACTGGAGCTTGAAGATGGTGCTTCTGTACAATGACAATAAAGCTGTCGACGTACCTGATTGCAAGATGATGAAAATTTGGTTGAGTCAGAACTTCTTGATAGGTACTGCTCCACGATCTCTCGATAAGCGTCACGGCCAAGTTCGAAAGTGTCGGAGAAATCTGACTTCCTATTGCAGCGCCCCTGATTTGGCGCCATACAACACCAAGTGCTGTGAAAAAGTGAGTCCGCTGTACACGTGGGTCGACCCCCTGCCTTAAAACTGAAAAATTGAAAAACTGAAAAACAGAAAAATCGCAAATCCCTTGGAAACAGGGGTTGACCCTACACACAAAGGCCTATCGCCGCTGGTATTTGTCGGCCACAACGCGCTGTGAATATCTGACAAAGCGAAGCCTTTCTGTACATATAACCGAGATAGTGCGTGCAACGAACTCTGTGCTTGACAGGACGGAAATGAATATTCACGAATTAAATGAGCTCGACCCTTCAGTCCGCTCAAACGCAATCGGAGGGTTCCGGCTGAAATGATTGTTCTTTCAGAAACATCAACATAAAAGCCGAGAAGTAAAATTGTCGGCCACCAGCTCCATTTCGACTGGACTACCATAAAAGTCCAAGTCTGTAAACACTTTGAACACTGGAGCTTGAAGATGGTGCTTCTGTACAATGACAAAAAAGCTGTCGACGTACCTGATTGCAAGATGATGAAAATGTGGTTGGGTCAGAACTTCTTGATAGGTACTGCTCCACGATCTCTCGATAAGCGTCACGGCCAAGTTCGAAAGTGTCGGAGAAATCTGACTTCCTATTGCAGCGCCCCTGATTTGGCGCCATACAACACCAAGTGCTGTGAAAAAGTGAGTCCGCTGTACACGTGGGTCGACCCCCTGCTTTAAAACTGAAAAATTGAAAAACAGAAAAACAGAAAAAATCGCAAATCCCTTGGAAACAGGGGTTGACCCTACCCACAAAAGGTCTATCGCCGCTGGTATTTGTCGGAAAACCGAGATAGTGCGTGCAACGAACTCTGTGCTTGACAGGACGGAAATGAATATTTGCGAATTAAATGAGCTCGACTCTTCAGTCCGCTCAAACGCAATCGGAGGGTTCCGGCTGAAATGATTGTTCTTTCAGAAACATCAACATAAAAGCCGAGAAGTAAAATTGTCGGCAACCAGCTCCATTTCGACTGGACTACCATAAAAGTCCAAGTCTGTAAACACTTTGAACACTGGAGCTTGAAGATGGTGCTTCTGTACAATGACAATAAAGCTGTCGACGTACCTGATTGCAAGATGATGAAAATTTGGTTGAGTCAGAACTTCTTGATAGGTACTGCTCCACGATCTCTCGATAAGCGTCACGGCCAAGTTCGAAAGTGTCGGAGAAATCTGACTTCCTATTGCAGCGCCCCTGATTTGGCGCCATACAACACCAAGTGCTGTGAAAAAGTGAGTCCGCTGTACACGTGGGTCGACCCCCTGCCTTAAAACTGAAAAATTGAAAAACTGAAAAACAGAAAAATCGCAAATCCCTTGGAAACAGGGGTTGACCCTACACACAAAGGCCTATCGCCGCTGGTATTTGTCGGCCACAACGCGCTGTGAATATCTGACAAAGCGAAGCCTTTCTGTACATATAACCGAGATAGTGCGTGCAACGAACTCTGTGCTTGACAGGACGGAAATGAATATTCACGAATTAAATGAGCTCGACTCTTCAGTCCGCTCAAACGCAATCGGAGGGTTCCGGCTGAAATGATTGTTCTTTCAGAAACATCAACATAAAAGCCGAGAAGTAAAATTGTCGGCAACCAGCTCCAGTTCGACTGGACTACCATAAAAGTCCAAGTCTGTAAACACTTTGAACACTGGAGCCTGAAGATGGTGCTTCTGTACAATGACAAAACGGCTGTCGACGTACCTGATTGCAAGATGATGAAAATTTGGTCGAGTCAGAACTTCTTGATAGGTACTGCTCCACGGTCTCTCGATAAGCGTCACGGCCAAGTTCGAAAGTGTTGGAGAAATCTGACTTCCTATTCCAGCGCCCCTGATTTGGCGCCATACAACACCAAGTGCTGTGAAAAAGTGAGTCCGCTGTACACGTGGGTCGACCTCCACTAGAGGGAAGGCTGAAAACGGTCTCAAGGGAGGAGGAGCAGGAACTCTGGGAGGAAGAACATGCGCTCTGGGAGGAATGTTTCCAACATACGGGTCCCAAAGACCAGTATGAATGTCCCATTGACCTGGTGGAGGACGGAGAGCTTGAGAGAAAGAAGAAAGAGCCGTTCTAACTGACCTACCTCTTTCAGATCTCGAAGTGGACCTCAGAGAATGGTGATCACGATGATGGTGACGGTGATGGGATGCTCGATGACGACGTCTTGTTCTGGATCTGGAGCAACTTGATGTTGTGCGTCTTTCCTGTTTGTCATCATCTGTTCCAACCGGCACCTGAGGTTGGACTGCTGACGGTCGACGAGGTACGGAGATCGTTCCTGGAATTGCGGCTGGGGCTACTACCGGAGTTGCTGGAGGAGCATGTGGTGTCAATGCCAGTCTTACTGCTGGCTTCGCCGGTGCCTTGGGTGGCCGAGGTGGAGTCGGGTCCACGTTGCCGGCCACAAAATAAACATTATACACCGGAGTCGACATGGCTCAGAAATCTAGAGAAAGGAAAATGGAAAATGTGTTGTCTAATATGACAACTTGCTAACTGTACCAGGATTGATCAGTTAGACAACTAACAAATGATAACGTATTGTTGCTTGCTCAACTGTACACCAAAAGGCATTCATGTGTACAAACACAATTCATCCATTTGGAATTCAATGCTGAGGCTTCAAGTGTGGAATTCAGAAAATTCATCTTATTGGTGACTATCAGTCGCCAAAATTGTCAAAAGTCAAATTCAAGTTCAAACTCAGTGGATTCAAGCTATTTTTGCCGGATAGCATACCGGGATCTATTCTCTCAAATGCACGCTTTGTGTCAGAGACACACGTTCAATCATTGCAATGAGCCACCGTGGCTGAATTCAAGAGTCAAATTCACTTGTGGATTCTCGCACTCCCAGGGGAGATACGACGCCTGGAATTCCAGGATCACGACCGGACTTTGACAGATCCCACGGCCGAAATACACACTTGCGAAGTCATGAAAGACGGTCTCTTTTCATGAATGCAAAGTCTGATTACCTCATGGTAGATTGAAGGCATCACTCGGCCATACCGAGTTAAAAAAGGCCAAGCTTATCCGTTGACATTTGAATGTCAGGTTGTTTAAAAGAGAAACCAATACGGCTCAATCAAAAGTGATCATGAAATGACTGAATGACGGCATGCAGGTTCTTGGGTTAGCCTGATCCCATAAAGTACTAACAGATACGAATATGACCACCAGCTATGACCCCAACATATTGGGTATGTCATCCAGGTGCATCATGCAGGTACGTTTTCACAACCTAAGGTGAGCGTCTTCATTGGCACAAGACTCACCAAAGGTCCTTGTGCCCCCTGCTGTGAATTAAGGTGCAATGGTATCCATAATTTATGGAAGAAAGCAGTTAAAAAACTAGTTGGTTGAAATCAGCCGCAAAAAGTGAGGAACTCTTCGGTACAGAGCTTGACACACACACACACACACACATATATATACACATATATATACACATATCATATGCATATATATATATATATATATATCCATGAACAAACCATAACACCTCTCCAATTGATCTCCGATACAGGCAGCCCCCTCTACTATCGCGGCCTAGCGTATTTCTGCCCGGTAAGCTGTGGCTGTAGTTCAGCTGACGCTTGGCAATTTCACCACGAAAAATTGGGATATTTCATGGGATCATGAGATGTACTCCAGAAATGGGCATATTTCATTGGCGATGGATGGGTTAAACGGTTAAACATGAAACATTAACGGTGATTCCAGTGGGATTTTCAAGATTTTTTTCATTGTTTGAGCCCCTTTTGATATTTTTTGATTAGGGTCAAGTTGACTGGGTGTATTATTTATCAGAAATTTTACTGGTTGACATGCCAAACCACATCCAACAATTGAAGCGTTTTATGCCAAGAAGGATTTTTTTGAACCGCAGCAGCCAAGAAGTGAAAACTATTTGGATGTCCATTTTTCCGAAAGATTGTTTGCATTCGTTTCAGTCCAACATTTTGGGTCGGGAAGTGCAGATTTTCCAGACTTCGGAAGATGATGTGACGAGAACTTCGGTGGATTCCATATCACCTTCCATTTCATAGCGAAGAGAGTTACATTTTTGGAGTTACTACTTTTTCCATGGTTACTTTTTCCATGGCTACTTGGGGATGGGTCAAAACCTATTATCACCATATTTGGAAGAATCAACATCCATTAACCAGCTACTTTAGGTACCATCCGGGTGCCAGGGTTTTGACTCACAACCACTTAACACCATAGAATCCCAGTTCCAAATTCCTGGTAATTCATGGTTTTTTTCGCTGCAGCTCCAGGATCCCATGCCGTCCTGGTGTCCTCGACTCTGCCAGGTGCGAAAGGGCTCTGTTTGGAAGTATCTCCTACATTAATGATATCTATATCATAGAATTGGATGATGGGAAAATTTACAGGAAACCCCTATATTTGAAAAACCATGGTTTCCTGTAAATTTTCCCTTAAACCAATCCAATGACTATATATATATGATATAAACATCATATATTAGTGTATCATTATGGATTTATATGATATATATAGTAAATAAATGGATAATCTACCAATATATAAACCAATATATATATATATATACATACATTTCAGAGGGGTTGAAACCACCAACCAGTCATCTATTAGTGTATCATTATGATATAGTTATACATATAACATTATATGGTCACTGTTAAAACTCATGTTAATAGATATATCAGATATAATGATATACTATAATGTAATATATAATGTATATAGATAATTGATAACATACCTAAACAATGTAGAGGTACAAGCAACCTGGATGGGGATAACTGAAACCTCGGATTTCTTCCGGATCTGCAACGACATCCTAAAGGATTCCGAAAAAAAGGCGTTCAAGTGGTGCCCCACTTGAGGTTTTGGCCAGTGGTTGGAACATGTTTTGGCCATACATTTTTGGCCAGGGAATCTCAATATCTCTCAATACAAATCAATAGGACATAAATTTATTTTTGGCCAGATAATGGGACCTTTATTGGGAATATGTTTATTCACCATAAATGTCCTATTGATTATCTCCCAGCCAAACATATTCCCAATATTTCCCAATAAAAGTCCCACGATATTTACAATATTCTACCACGGTACCCTAAAATTAGTGATGATCACATTCTTAGCATTAAAGTTACCCTCTGGTTATTTAGCATAGCCATGGAAAATCACCATTCTTAATAGGTAAACCATCTATAAATGGACCATTTTCCATGGCTACGTTTAATAACCAGAGGGTACCATTGGAAAATTACATAATCCCACATCATCCAGTCATAATTTGGTCTGATAATCCCACATCATTCATCCATATTCATCCATTTAAAGGATCCTGAAATTCCCATTGATTAAAGTTACTCTTTTTCCATGGTGTTTTCGACTTTTTGTGTTTTTCCCCATTTGGAGACGTGGCATTTTCCATCATGGATCCACTTTTTTGCAGGGCTGCAAGGACGCCGAGGACGGTGACGGGTCTTTGGGAAGTTTTTCTTCGATCCCCATTGCAACAAAACACACGCGATTAGGGTAAAATTACCATTTTTGTTGCTTAGATTTGAAAAATCCCATGAAATCCCATGAAATTTTGATGGTTAAATCAGGTTAAACATCTCCTATTTTCAGAGCGGCTGAGCGCCCAAGCTGCAGGAGTTTCCTCCTCAGGGTGTGGTGACCAATTGTGCAGCTGCTAAAGCTGCAGGGTTGCTGCTTGACACAGATCAGCTGTGATTTTTTGAAGTGAAGTGAGGAAGGGCCCAGGATATAATGGAAGTATATAAGTGATATTATCACTAAGATATAATTACTATAAGTGAACATACTGTTTGGAAGTATAATGGGGATGTAATGAAGAATTCAACGAAGTGAATTAGTCCAATACGTTTGATATTGGCTGAAGTATAATGGGGATATATTTTTTGGAATAACTATTGAATTAAAAAAAGCTAAGATATATTTTGATATGATCGGTGGGGATATAATGGAAGATCACCAACAGTTTTTTCGGGATTTGGCCCCCAAGCGAAGGCCATTGTGGCAATGAAATCGTACAAATCAACCGCCCTGTATTCAGACAAACCCAACAAATGGGGTTACCAAGTTGTGAAAAACAAATTAAGCCTCCACACCCAAAATATACCATTTGGGTGTCTGTAAAAACTTCGAATTTTGGTGTTAATTTGGGTTTTCCGCACCATTTGGTATCTCGTCAGAGGACATGAGTCGATATGGGGATGGCCCAAATTAATTATTTACCCCCAAAATTGGATGGCTCACTCGAAGGTTCGATGAGAAACTGTTGAGTTACGGACAAATGTCAATGGACAGCTTCAGCGAAGCCTTTTGTTAGAAACTCAAGAGATCCTTATCGAAGCGAAATGGCACCGAAATGACTCAGTACGGCTCAAATGGATTTCAACACTCAACGGCTCGATTTTGGGGACTGACTGATCGCTATGCGGCCCTCGACATGCCTCAGATTGAGGCTCAACATACATACTCGATTCGCTTTGACTTGGGAATCGAAAAGGAGATGAACTGAAACCCTCACCGACGAGAAGTATTCAACAGTGGTGAGACGAAATAGGAACTTGGAGAGGATACACTGATATTTCTGCATGATATCTTAGTAAGCACATTATGAACTAATTACCAACCCAAAACGCTAACACAAAACCTGCATTCATCCAATCCACACAATGAGGGTGAAAGTTTAGTATCAAAATAACTTTAGAAACCCACCGCACAAAAGGCAACACCAAGGAAACACATTGAACATCACAAATTCATAACCAGCAATATACATACTGCACATACATTCACCCCCCAGAACCAATCTATGAATATTTTGTTGCTTACATTGGACAAAACCATATATCTTTTTGCATTACCGTCCATCATGAAACATTTTGAGAATCAAAACATTTGGAGAAACCTACACATTTCGAAATCCCATGGGGAATAAGCCAGTTATGCTACTATGAATCCAAATATTTTATTGTAACTTTAAGCGCGGATAATTTATATTTGATCAAGGGTTACAGTAGGCCCAACTTGATTGTCAAAATCAGAATGCTCTCATGGTTGGATTGATAAAGTCCAACTATTATTTTTGAAACCTGCTTATATTAATATAAAACCGAACAATACTTGATTACACGAATATAATCCCAGTAAGATTAGTCCAGACATGAAATACACGAATATTATCCCATAGCATTGCCATATCATCCTGAAGAAATGTGGTTTTCTCTTCCTGGGTTTGCCACATGATATTGGCCATGAATCCCATTTTGTCGACATACTTTCTTGATTAAGCATCAACCCACCCATTTTGTTAAATATGGATAACCAAATTATGTCTTAAAACTATAGCTGATTTTTTGCCATATATTTGATTGTTGATTGTATCCCCATGATTGATCCATAGATACTATACACTGTCGATATAGGAACAAACCATAGTTATTGGTGAAAGATATAGCCGCTATAGCCACATTGGCTAATCCCCATGTTTGATTCATAGATAATCATATTGAAGGTTTCAATGGGGGTACCGGTACCCCCATTTTTTTATCCGTTTTATGGTGGGATGCTTCACCATCCATAACTTGGGGTACCCTTATGACTATGGAAAGCCCAACAAAAACCAGCCAGTTATGACTGAAAGATATGGCCACATTGGCTGATCCCAAAAATCCCTCTGGTTATGACGAACATAGCCATGGTATAGATGGCCCATAGAAATAGATGGTTTACCTATTAATAGCATGGTGGATCTTTCCATGGCAAACTGTTAGTCATAGCCAGATGGTATCCCATAGAAATATCCCATAGAAATATCCCATAGAAATATCCCATAGAAATATCCCATAGAAATATCCCAATATCCCATAGAAATATATCCATTTTTCCCCAATATTCAATATCCCATAGAAATATACAATCCATATATGACTGGGGAGATTCCATACTGGTCACCATTCTTTCACCAGTTCCATGGTTTGTCGACACCCAAGGTGTGAGGCCTGGCCGGAGCACGCCTTGACCTTGTGTGCTGAGACCTGCGAACTTTGCCATCTGAGACCTGGCCGTTTTATAGATCTGGCTGAGACCACTGTAACCAGATTTTTTTCCGGTGGAAAATAAACATGGCCAATAATTATCTATTGTATCTAATTATTATCTAATTATTATCTAATGTATTATATCTATAGTATCTACAGTATCTATAGTATTATATAGTATCTATAGTATCTATAGTATCTATAGTATCTATAGTATCTATAGTATCTATAGTATCTATAGTATCTATAGTATCTATAGTATCTATAGTATATATAGTATATATAGTATCTATGTAAATAGAAAATAACAAAGGTACTGTATTATATCTATAGTATCTAATTATAGTATTATCTATAGTATCTATAAATGATTTAAGGTTTAGTATTATCTATAGTATCTATATAATTCTATGGTATCTGTGGATTGTGAATAGATTATAGATATTATAGATACTATAGATAATACTAAACCTTAAACAATTTATAATCCATTTATACAATGTTCCAAAGAATATAAGGTTGGACTTCTGTAATACCATCACAACTTAATCATAACACCAAAAGGACATCTCTGTTGTTTGTGTATAGATATGTAGGTATATAGGTCGATATTATCAATATATATATATATCATTGCCAAAACCTATTACACGCTGCGGCCTGATAGCCAGCTAAGTTGGGGGCCACATAACTCCAATTTCACTCTGGTGAACATAGCATCTTAGAACTAGTTGGTTAATCGATGTTCATGGGGTTTAGAAAAACCTACAAACATCAATGGGGGGCAATGCTCCAAGGCTTTCGGGTCCAAACTCCAGCAACTCCAACGGAACTCGGCGCTTGAGGCGTGAGTGAAGGTTCCCTGAGACCCGGATGGTAGCCTAAGTCATAGCTGCTGTAGCTGGGACCCATTTTATAATCCACCAGAAAATTGAAATATCAACCGGGTAAACCTTGGTTGGGTTTCCCAGTACTTGAAAATATCTTGCCATGGGGTGGATGAAGTACCCAGCTAAAAGAAATGCAGAGTATCTAAGACTAGCCATGATACCCTCTGGAATTTAACATAGCTATTGAAAATGACCATTTATAGTGGATTTTCCCATTAAAAATGGTGATTTTCCATAGTTATGTTAGTTTACCAGAGGGTTCGATGAATTTTTTCGCGCCGTTGATGCAGGTCAATCGACAGCAAGACCTGATTTTTTGTGACGCGGAGTCTCAAATTTGTTAACGTCGCTTTACCATCGTTGATGGTGTTCTTTTCCTCATATTGAACGGGCATTTCAGGAACCTAAATTGGAGGTACCTACCATATATAAGGCCTATTTTTCAGGCCTATGTAAGGGAATGGCCATTGACATATTGACGAGTTTTTTGGGGACTCACCAACATCATAGCACCAAGATAGCATGATACTTGGTCAAAGAATCAGCTGGCACCATCAATCCGAAACAGCATCAACGACCCGGCAAGATAGCCACTGCAAAGCAGTTAGCGCTGGCCGAAACAGGAAAGCAACGGGAAGTAGTGGCAAGCAAATGACAAGCTGCAAGCTTTTACCAACAGCAGCATCATCAACAAGAATCCGACACTAACATGAGGACTACCCCAAAATTTCCCTCGAACAAAGTCTGATTTTGCTAATCTTCAGAGATACCCAGTGGCAGAAAAATGACCCTCAAGCTCACTTTGGGAACATTGACTCTATTCGTGGTGGCCCGCATGTTCCAGCATACTTTAGAGAGGAGAACTGCGGAAATGAGCCCTTCTTGGGTACCGATTCGATATGTCGCATTTTGAATACACATACATGCTCAAGTTTACTCTTGATCCATGTATCACCCTTCAGTAGAAATTGGTCATAGAAATTGGGAACCCCGTTTTGCAGCATAATCACCTACCAATTTGTAGCATCTGAAAATGAGTATTTTCATCACCATCGCTTCACAATGCGATGTTGGCCCCATTTCGGCTGGGCATTGGTCCAGACAACTCGTAGGAAGGGCGAGCGCCAAAGGTGTCGCCGTTGATTCGTGAAAGTAAAAAACATCATGGTGGTCTATTTGGAGATCTAAAACAACTATGCTATAATGGAGGTCATGGTATTTATACAAGTATGATCAATATTATTCTATGGAGGTCATAAGTATGTGATATGGATTGATACGGTATTTATCACTCTCGATGTTAAAAAAACCAACAAATAACTATCCAGTATTTCATGGATATTCACCATGCTTTTCAACACTCTCAGCTGGGCAAGGTTCCTTAATGGCTTACCAATGAAAAATGCCTGGTCTATGGCATTGGGATTACCACATTCGCCAAGTAAAATTGGTGATTTCTATGGTATGATGGCTGGTTAATAACCTGATTGCCCAGGAAGTTATGCAAGCAGTACGACTGAGTATATGGGATATCCCCAGTCCTAGATGAATCATAGGGATCAGAATTTTGACCTCGAACGATTTTGGATCAGATTTGGTGCCTAAAATCAAGCTTTGTGGGAAGCTTGAAGCTTTGTGGGGACTGGACCTCTCAGTTGGGTGCTTTCACAGATTCAGGGAACTGGTCGGCTGGTTGCACCGCCCAATCAAGCAGTACTGAGCCATGCCGAGTTTTTGGAGATGTCAGTCCTTCAAGATGGCTACTTTCTCTGAAAATTGGCTACCCCAAAATTTGATGGGTCATCATGGTTCCAGTGAAAACAGTAATTTGAGGGGTATACGAACCATTTTTCAGACACATCCAGATGTGCTTCCTTTAACTTGACATTGGTTCCAAGCTTCGTAGACGATGAACCGTCATGGCATCATGTCATGATGAGCCTCAAGATATGCTCGGCAGCTGAAAGGCTGTGGTGAAACAGACATCAAACAGTGCATCATGGAAATATTCGGAACATACCGGGGAACCATTGGGATGTCAAAAACATGAGGCATCTCATTCAGATGGGGAACATGCACCGCATTGAACATGGCCGAAAAATGAAGCCCAGATAGCCAAGAGAAAGCAGGGCACACATCCGATGGACGAAGTGCTGAATTGCCAGCAATGCCGTTTGTGCCGCGCTCAGGACGGCTGCTACCCGGGTGGTAGCAGAGATGGATGTCAGCCAGCCTCTCCAGTGTCTCCCAGTGGTTACAGTGGAAACATTTGGAAACTATCGACTTTTCGATCCCAAATTCAAATAGTGCGAAGTAGTAACCAGCATCATTTTTTTACATTTTTTTACTGCTTCCAATTCTAGCTGGTGTATGGGTAGTATGTTTCCATGATTTTTGAAGAGCCACTTGGTGCTTGACCCAACCACTGTAGCTGTCAATCCCAATTTCAGTTGGGTCACTCAAGTGGGAAAGTTAAAATTCCTTACCTTTTCTATCCTTATCTCCTAGTTCTGTTGGTCAAACATCCAACAAATAAAACAGAGGCCCAGCCTCTCGAGATGAGCAGCTCATAGACCAAACCACCCAATTTTTCTGGAGCTATCCGGATGTCTAGTTTTTTTTTGCTCAGAATTCCAAGGAAATCTTATGATCCATCTGATCCATATCCTGAGTCTTTTTTGCTGCGCAAGCAGAATGACAAAGCCAGTTGATCCGTTGATCCAATTTTTCTTCATCCCAAAAATCGGTTTTCCCCTTTTGGTTTTCCCCTTTTGTTGATGTTATTCACCATGGGGTTCACCATACAGAAACCATACAGAAACCCATCAAGTTGACCCCAGTGACAATCCATCGTCAAGCGCCTATGGCTGAGGCGAAAGGTTTATGGCCACCTGGATCCCGACAACTTGCTGTGGTACTGCGAGGTGCGAGAAATTTTTGGCACCTGGATGGGTTGAAACGTGGAGAACGGGAGATTTACGATGATTTTCTGAAGCTGGAAACTATTGGAAACTTGTGCTTTAGAACTGGAATGAACTGGAGAAAATGGTGGATTTACCTTACTTGAGGGACAACGGGACAACGGGGTTTGAATTTAGACATGTTGATGCACCGCTTTTTTAGCTCCAAAACTTGGCTTCAGAGTAGAACGTTTTTCTATGTGATCATGGGATTGAACAGTAGAACATTTGCACCAGAGCTGAGAAGTTATACAAAACAGTGGTGTGATTGGTAGTTGGTGGGGTGAAGGATGCTTCATTGATGGAGAATTGCTAGTCGGATTGATAGGCCTGGGTTGATAGATTGGTGGATTAGATAGATGCAGCCCTACAGCGAAGAGGCAGCTACTTCCTCTCCAGACGGAACAGCAGATCTTCATAGCAGATGTTCAAACCGCAAAAGACAAACGAGGCCATTTTCAAACAGTCAATTTTCCACGATCCACACAGAAATGCAGGGTAGAAATCCAGACCAAATCCATCATGGTGGCATCATTTGCTGTGGCCCATCTCCAAGAGGTCGTAAAACGCCAAAACCCATGGGTGAACTAGCCATGGTGAAGCACTTAAGTGGGCCGGGATGACCGAACAATACCGAACATATGGACACCCAGCTCGGGATATCAAAGAGTACTCCTTAGTACATGTTGTTGTGCAGTCTTTGTTTCCCGATCACCCAATCTGGAAAGGAATGTTGGAAAGAGTTCAGCGGCACCAGCCGGACCTGTTTCCTTTGCCGCGAGTCGGTCACTCAATGAGGGCCGTGCTGAGACATACTGCGGTATAGCTAGGGCAAACGTTTACATGTGGAAAAGCCCTGGTTTCCCGTTCGGAACATGTATAGTCAGTGTGTTTTCCACAGCTATGTAAACGTTTAAACTAGGCTATAGTGGCTATAGCTTCCAACAAAAACTGGGAAAGTCCCATCTTTATTTATAGGTCACTGGGAAACCCACAGGAGTTTTTCGAAACCTTACTTCGAGATGGTTTTCTAAGCGAGTATGGAATCTCCCCAGTCATGGAATATAGATATTTCTATGGGATATTGGTATATTTCAATGGGATATTTCTATGGAACATTCTATATATATATATAGATATAGAATTTATAAAGATATATGGAACATTCTATATATATATAGAATTTATATAGATATTTCTATTCCTCCACTAAACCCATGGGTTGGTGTGTTTCCCATGAGGTTCGCCGGCGCTGGTCGTGTCGATCCCAGCGATCGAAGATGGTGCGCCGGGATGGGCGTTTTGGAAATCTGGCGCTTGGCAAATTGATGTCTCTACATCTACATCTATATCTCTATCTCTATATGTACATCTCTATCTCATCTATCTATCTATCTATCTATCTGTCTATCTATCTATCTATCTATCTTTGTGTATATATATATTAATATCTTTATCTAAAACAAGCAAAACATCATTCAATCTTTAAACTCAGTGTTCGTCCTTAGACATTTGGATACACCCAGCCAGCTATGCTTTTGCCACGATATGCCTCCAGCCGAGGTATTGCAGCAATTGCTGGGGAGACTATGAAGCTGGGGTCCCCAGTGGTCAATACCCGGCCTGGTAAACATACAAAAAGCTATTGAAAATGGCCATTTATAGTGAGTTTTCCCATACAAAATGGTGATTTTCCATAGTTATGTTAGTTTACCAGAGGGTAATTTTGAGGCTTACCCTGAACAAATTATATATGTAATTTGCTACTAAGTCATGCTGCCCCAAGTTATATAAACATCCCTGAGTTTTGCGCAGCGCTCAAGAGCCGCTGCGGTTTTGTTGATTTTGTATTTTGTTGTCTCTAAAGGTGTGCATGGATTTGATAAATCAAAATCATCATAGGCTATATGTTCAATGATCTCCCAGTGGTTGTGCATTATTCGGGTTATAACCCAGTATAACTAGTACATTCATTGGATTATTGGGTTATAGCCAGTTCTGATGATAATGATACTAGTAAAATCAGTATCACCCAATAGTATATAACTGGGCTTTGCACAATAACAAGTACTGGTAATAAAAGTCAGTACTTATTGCTATAATTCAATTTTACTGGTTATACACCAAACTTGTTTGACCCAACTATTAGACAGTATATTTTCTAGACTATAATCCATTATTATTGGTTAATATAGCCCAGTTAAAATACTGTTTGGTTAATATAGCCCATTTATAGTACTGTTTGATAATACAATATGTTTGATATAATCCAATTATTAATTACACTTAGTTAGTTAAAATAAACAACCCCAATTATTAGACATTATAACCCAATTACTGTTTGTTATAACT